ACAGAGCTCAGATGGTGCTGATCCGGGACCCTTTCATAAGAGAGTATTTGTCCTGCCCAGTCCGGTGCTGTCAGCAGCTCTTACCCAGCGATTTCAGCAGCAGGGTGGAGAAAGCCATGAGCAGGATGGGGCCCAGGTACTGCAGCGTGACCACAGTCAGGTAACAGAACACACGGGTCACCTGTGGGGCGGGAGGTGGAGACACCAGGTTACAGAGCGAGCAAACACACGCAGAGTGATACAGTTTCACGCAACACCCTTACTTTCAGTATACGAATGCAGAAAGCCCACAAAACAGTCAGAAACTAAGAAGTATGTACTCCGGACCATCTTAATTATTGCATAACCTAAAAATACCCGAGAAGTGATTCTTTTGAAGCAAAGGAGTCCCATTGTATGGCAAGACACAAAATGAACTTGGGCATGATCCATGCTTTTATGGAAAGGATAGAAAATCCTTATCCTGAAAAAACAAATTCCTGCATGTTTCACAGGTATTGTTAAACTGCCAGTGATGAGGTTTTGGTAATACATAATCGCTTAGGCTTTGTAGCTTGAGAGCTCAGATGAGTGAAAGCAGAAAACCCTGATGCTGTCACTAGTGAGCCATGCAGCTCCATTAAAAGGGCTTTCATTTCCGACAGGCAGATCGGTGGTCAGCCTCTCTACAGCACTCTGCACATGGAGGGGCGTGGCCTCGACAGTGGGAAGGACCCCAGCTCCTCACCTTCCTCTGGATGTCAATGGCAGCGATGCGCCCCGCCTCCCTCTTCATCTGCTCCACCCACTTGTGTGCCAGGTTGAGGTAGGCCTGAAGGTGGTGGCGGGCGAGGGCCAAGCGGAGGGCACACAGCGCCAGGACAGTCCACAGGCGCACCGAGTCGAACGTGGAGCTCGACATCCTGACCACAGACACAAGGAGAAACACTCTGCTTGAGCCATCCCTGTGGTGCTGACGGGATACAGGATTAGTCCGACAGTCCAAATTCAATAATCTGGGCGTTTCTCGAAAAGAGTAGGGGTGTAACCCCGGTGTCCTGGCCAAATTTCCCCCTGGCCTTTACCCAAACATGGCCTCCTAATAATCCCCATCTATGAATTGGCTACATCACTCTGCTCTCCTCCCCACTGAGAGCTGGTGTGTGGGGAGTGTACTGGTGCATCATCCAGGTAGGGCTGCACACTGGTGGTGGAGGGGATCCCCATAACTTGTAAAGCACTATATAAGAGTAAGTAACTATTATTATTAATTTCCAATGCTGCAATTGTAAAAGTCGAAGGCACGGCTTCCAAATTTTTATCTCCATCCGTCTGAGCTCTTTTTTATTTTGACTTTGGGGGGAAAAAAAATAAAATACTGTAGTCTGAGCTACAGTATATCAACAAATGTGACTGCAAAAAAAAAAATCTGTCAACATGACCAACATCATGCAATCCACACACTGGATTTCCAGTTCTTTGAGTATTTGAGGAATCATACTGATGGTTAATGAAGGAATGCGTGGGGCGTGAAAGATGTATTCTGACTCCGTGTGTTTTCTCGTCTGTTGCATTCGGTGCTGAATGTTACACGAGGTGTACAGGTGTTCATCTGTGTGCTAAGCAATGCACCGCGAACATTGCAGACTGAACACAGCACCGCTCTGCAGACTGAATGGCAAGTCAGGAGTGCGTGTGGTGGGATCGGGGGAGATGGGGGTGAAAGGTCACACTCACAGGGAGACTGTGCTGTTCCCCAGGGGGGCGCTCTCCAGGAAGTCACGGGCAATGGGCTTCACCCACAGCAACACCACCACCATCGGAGAAAGGAAGCTGGCATGGAGGAGAATTCTGGGAAAGGAAAAGATGTCAGATGTTCAGAGCGAAGGGGCTATCTCACAGGAACACTGTCCGCACTGAGTGAAGGCCAGCGGCACAGATAGGACCAATGGATGGCATTCACCAGAGTCTCACTCTGTTCCTTCAAATAAGTCTCCCTGTTCCTGGAGAACCACAGGCCTTCAGCACATGGTGAACTCTGTAGTTCACCGGGACCAGGAAAACCTGCAGCCGCTTTAGAAGTTTCATGGTTTCCTGTTGTTTCGATCGCGGTTACATCGACGACCTGGAGAGTAGCCGTTCGTTTTTTACTGGAGTGATCTTCCCACTGAGGAATTCAACCCACAACCTCCACTCTGGAGTCCAGAAACCAATATGGCTTCCTGTCCATGCAAACTCCCTCAAAATAATCTTTCCGAGATCTGAAAATGGCATTTTCGGATCCATAAGAAATGTTACAAATACAATCCATCAACTTGGATTAGTGGCTGGTAGCTAACTGATCCACCCTGCCCGTGTCTGGAACACCAAGTTATCCGCTTCAACAGCATGGCTGGGTACCTTGTTCCAGGTTTAACAGTTCAACAAGAGAGACATGAGTGATCTGAACAGGCATTCTTCGACAAAGAGGCAGATTTCGTACTGGATCATCGGCCGGTCTGAGTTCATGTCCAGGGCATCCAAATGCGTCTGGGCCAGTCGGAGGCCAGGGAAGGCGAGCAGAGCACCGATGAAGGAGCAGAGAGCTGCCAAGCCCAGCTTCAAGCCCAGCCTGGTCACGGGGATCCTGTCAGGGAAACAGGGAGGTTCAGCCGGCGAGAGGCCGGTTAGAACTCAAAATCGTTTTTCTTTAGATTAAGAAACCCCGATACTCACGACCAATACCAGCCTTGCTGTTTCAGAAAAGCCTCCAGGTTATCAAACACAACGGCGAGGCCTGAAAAAATAAAAATAAATAAGCCGCCCCTTGTAAATCTTGGAGCTGAAACAAAGTTTTCACAGACCCCTTTTAAAAAGGAAAAAATTAACCCCGAGAGTACAGCAGACATAAAGCGCTGAAACTCCTGCCCTGAAGCCCTGCCCTGTCCTGTAGCTGGGGACAAGTGAAAGAGGGGGACTGTATGAATGACGGACCCCCGATTTGTCAGACAATCTGAAGAAATCCAATTCCAAAATGTCAGGGAAGGGATTGCGGATGGTGGCATAACACAGGGTGCAACAAATACAGATCTTCTTCAGAAAACGGCAGATAAGTGAAACAGTGGGCCGCGAGATGGATTTCAGATCTTTTTCGCTCCGTCTGCGCTCAGTTCAGAGGGGCCGTGTCCTAAGCGCTCCGAGCGCCGGAACGGACTGTCCCGCACACGGGGGGGGGTTGCGTACCGGGCTCCAGACCGAACTCCAGGTAATCGTCCCGCACCACCAGCACCAGCATGGCCACCAGCAGGGAGAGGAAGCCGAACGCCAGGCACACGGAGCGCTCGCCCCCCTCCTCCGAGCGGAAGTAGTGGCTCATCAGAGTGAAGAGAGTCCGCCTGACGAGAGGTCAAGGGTCAACACCGCTGGCTGAGGGGGTGCGTAGGTCACTATGGAGGACGGCGGTGTCCCAGAAACAGCGAGACACACACAGGCACGGGACACAGGGTTACAGATCCATATCACGCCGCATTTTCAGCACTAAATAAAGGCAAAAGGGAGGATCCTGGGAACTGCTTTAAGAGCAAGACAAGCCTATGCAAACCTGCGCACTGCTGGAGGAGGAATCGAAACACCTATCACTCTGGTAAAAACACTCCCTAACAGCTCTATGCTGTAGCTGCTCAGCAGAGTGGTTCGAAAATGAAGCAGGAGCAAATCAAGTTTGCAATGAATCATCTGGAAACACTCCGATCTGGAACAGCCCTGTGTGGGTTTTTCACATCTTGGCTCTCGTCTACAAAGCGCACGTGCGCACACGGGGGAGAAAGAGGAAGTGCAGGCCGACGCCCCTGACCCCGCCCACCTTCCCACCATCTTTTAAAACACTGCGGGCAATCCAGCCCTGGTCCCGAGGAGAGGCAGGTCTCTCCCCGACAGCACCACACGCAGCAGGCGAGTCCGAGCAGCTCAACCAGTAGTGCCCTCCTGCTTCAGACACCCGGTCCCATTGGGCCCTCGGAGTGAAGGATACACAGTGAAGAGGACAGCCAGGAAGCACCAGATGGCTCCGATATTGACCTCCTTGCTGGCGTCCGCGAGGCAGTAGTAGCCCTCCGTGAACAGGTAGACGCCCAGAGCATAAACGGCAAAGTCAACCAGCCACTGGTACTCCAGGAAAAAACGGAGAACTGGAAAAAAGTACAAGTTACAGAAATGATCCCAACATTATTGGGCCTTCCTGAGCAGTTAGGAAACAGCCTAGGGCCTGCTTCCCAGAAGCCAAATAACATACCAGCATGTCTTTGGAGTAAACCGGAGCACAGAGGAGAACATACAAACTCCACACACACAGCACCCCAGCTCTACGGCCCCAGTGCTGCAAGGCAGCAATACGTATCCCTGCGCCACCTTGCTGCCTGTGTAAAATGTCATTATTACTAAATTCAGAAGACATTATGGACATGTAAGTATCTTCACTTATGTTACAGCTTCGTGGCTTCAAAATTTGTCTCCCTTTTAAGTTCTGAAACCAGCATTTGAATGACTTATTGTGTAAATAAGCACACGTGTCTATTTGAAAAGATTCATTTCTGTATTTTAAGTTGGTATTTTAACTCCTATGAGGAGAGAGCAGGTGGGAGTTCAAGCACTAGTGCAGGATAAAAGTGCCCCTTTTGGTGGTGTGTGACTGTGTGAGTGGGCTTGGTCTACAGCTCCACACCGGCCTCTGTCGTCAAGAGTCCAGCGCAGCTGTGGGCCTGACCCCGCCAGCACTGTGGACACCTTACCCAGGGCGTCCAGCGCGCCGATAGGAGCAGCTTCCAGGTGGAGGTCGATGTCTTTGGGTACTGTGAGGGGCTTGCTCTCTGCGGCCCCGTTATGTCTCCTAGGAAACACGAAAGTTCAGCTGTCGTGTGTTACTGAGGCAAAACTCCTTCGCAGATTTCACTGGTGCAAGTGAACTTTCAGAAGACGTGATCAAGAAAGAGTGAAGCCTGGTAAGGTTTCATCCTGTCGACTGAACTGAATGACAAAACCCCAGTGCCTAGGAATTAAAGGACTACACCTTCCTTGCAGTGATGAATCTGGAAAGACTTGCTCTGGAATTAGCCGTGCATGAACCCTGAACAGAGTCACAGAGAGCCTCACCTGTCTCGCCTGTTGTTCCTTGGCACCTGTTTCCCTGCCAGAGCGCACAGCTCCCCCTCCGAGGGGTGTTTGAATCGATAGAGGCTGGACCAGGGGAGAAGAGATGGGCAAGGTTATCACACTGGGACAACGACTTCCAGTCCAGCTCAGAGTGACCACGGCTCATCCACCACCCTGCCGCGCCACGCTTACCTTCAAAGGGAGAAGATCTCGCGAATTAAGGAAGATTGCATAACAGAACCCCTTCACATTAACTTTAACACTCCAAGGTGGGAACTGAATTAAAACTTCCCTTGGCGCAACCTCACCCAAACACCCCAGTCCACTCTGTGCAATGTGTGTGGAATGACACTAAATACAAACTGCAGCAGTGGACACTGATCATGGCAGAGGCTGGCATGCTCTTGGCATTAGGCTGGTGACCTATCACCTGTCATAACTGGGGGGGGGGGGTATTTGTTTCTGACCTACCTGCCGTTGCAGAGGAGCCAGCGGGCAAAGGAGTAGTGAGGGGCCATCCTCTGCATGATGCTGCCCACCAGCAGGCTGACCACCAGCTGGATGCCCATCAGCGCCTGTGGGGGAGGACCAGAGACTCTCTCACTCTCTCACACCCTGGAGCACAGCCCCACGGACGCCCGGCCATCACGCGCGTTCTTATTTTTGGGGCGGTTTGGAATAAATAAAAAGGCGACCAAGCCGGCGGCCGTGTCCATAAGCGCTTGACCGACCACCGCGCTACACCGCCTCCATCCCACCACCCTGCAGTGCATACGAGCACAATCGCTGACTCTGAGCCCGCAAGGTCATAAGCCAACAAGATCCTAAGAAAGCGACAGGTGGGGGCAACGTGTTGCAGCTGAGGCGATCCTTCAACTGCTCAGAAATCTGCCCCGTACTCCTTCAGATCTGATCAGAGACGCTTTAAGATCTTAACACCGTACGTGCCAGAGGATAGACCGAACGGGATATTATTATTATTATTATTATTATTATTCGCACTTATCTCAAAGCTTCTGCGCTCATAGAAACACGTAATTTTGGATCCTGCAACAAATGACCGGAGTTTCTGACAAGTGTTCCGTTATGTTCAGCTGAGAAACATAGGCGAGATCAGGCAAGTCTTCTTTCACTTGCGTAGCTTTATACACAGAGATCGGACTAGTAAAAAAAATAAATTAACGTACTCACCATTTTGTGCGTCTTATTTTTAAAATAAGCAGTGCTGAATAACACGAGCTAAGCTCCCCTCTCTCTGTCAACAGCTGGACCTGTCTGGTAAGAACGTGTTTGAGGCTCAACCTACCCTTTAACCGGATTGGATGATCCCTAACCCGCTGTGCATCTGATTGGGTGATCTCGTAAATCTCCAGTAAGGGGAAGAGGGGGTCAAGCTGCGGAGCGCACCAATCAGCGTCCTGGGAAGAGCGTGATTCAACCGTGCGGTTGAGTCGCACTAAAGCCTAAGGTTTCTGGGAATTGGAGTTTTTTTTGTGATCATTTCCAAAGTGTCATATCTGGCTTTTCAAGGACAGCATGCAGATAGCGTTACAGATTATTTTTATATATATACATGCATGGCATTAATTAAAAAACACAATATTAAATTTGAATGCCAGTTCTCTGTAGGAAGACGAATTCCCTGGCCTGTCAGTGGCGTGTCCTTGTTTAATCTTCTTAATCCCCGGATTTGTTCTAGGTAAATCCTCTGTGCACCCGCCTCTTCATCATAAAGTGGACATTGCCCAGCCTAAAATGCTCGTCATTTTCTGTCAGGCCTCCAAAATGTTTTTGCATTTCTCTCCTAAGACTACAGCCCCCATGATGCCGCGCGTCCCACCTGCCGTGTAATGCCTGGCGCGCAAACTTAAAGGTGACATAGCGCGAGCTATATCGTTGTAATATTTACTTTTTATATTTTAACGTCTTTTTCTCTGGCGGACAAAATTACTGACGTCGAAACCTTTAATTTTACCACGTAACCTGAAAAAAGTTCAGTTAACTTTATTTTTTTAACTACATCAATAAACGAATATGAAATGAGGGGTGTTTAAAACATAAATGCTATTGTGAACATGGTATTTTATTAAAATTTCACTCCCGTGACTCACGGACTTTTCTTGTTTATAAACAATAAATTAATTATATTACATTCACGAATTCTGTCTACAACAAATATTACCAGTGTCCCTTCTGGTTTCTCTTTGGAATTGTGCCGTGAGATGTCAATATTTATTTTTATTCGCGGCCATAGTCAACGTAGGTTTCATTTCTGTGGCGTTTTGTACTGTTAAAATGTATCTGGCATATTGAAACAAAGTTATGAAAACCGTAAAAAAAACTACGTGTACAAAGAAAATATAGTAAAAGAAACGTCCCCCGGTTCACCTGCAACTAATAACTTTATATATGCTGTAAAAAGAATAGATTTCCACAATTACAATTTGTAAACACCATCCTAAAAGCTTTTGTTTGTTTGTTTGTTTGTTTGTTTGTTTGTTTGTTTGTTTGTTTTTTCGCAGGATAATAATTTTCAAGCGGTCCGCCCTTGTCTCCCTCGTTCACAGTAGCTCTGCTAGCCGCGTCTTGATCCTTGACGACAGCTTGAAATCGAGGTGAGGTTTTCCCCAGTGTTTCCCAGTATTGTGCAGGACATCTTTTATTGCTTTTCTCTCTGGTTACTCTCTGCTTGGATATTGTTTTTTTTTTCCATTTACCACGCTTAATGCTCCTTATTAACCCTTAATGTGTAGGTACATTAGGTAGGTACTCATTAAGGGTTCATAAAATTTACCTCGCCCAGCTTCCCGACCTGAGCTGCTGGTTGTTTCTTACAGGTTGTGTGAGGTGTTTCGGTCGAGGCAAACATCCAAGGTTCAGACCAGGTGTAGTGTTTTGACCACCCTCGTCTAATTCTGTTTCCATATCCTGTTGTTCTCTGGCAAAACTGCCTCCTGTATCAGTAATACCCAAGGTGTCGATTTTTGCACATCAAAACCAGTTACCCTAAAACAAAAGTTTTTTTTTTTCAGATGATTGTTTTACTAAGCAGCTGTAAAACTTTGATAACTACATATATATATACACATACACACATTTGATTTCTCCTGTGCTAATCTTGCTGCCACTAATTCCTCGGTTTTTCTCCAGTCTTAGTTCTACAACATACTTTTGGAATACCCTGAGCGCCTAGTTTGAAATCTCTTTAATGATAATCTCTCTTTGGCATGCTTTGAACATGTCTTGGCGTTCACCAGTCTTATGTTAGGCTGCCTGGAGAGAAAATTATGCAAATCATTAAGATTAAGGTACTAAATATGCATGTAGCACACTGAGCTTTTGGCAGCAGTACTAAAGGCAGAGTTAGCTTTATCAGAATTTATTTTTAAAGACAGAGCATTTTTCTGTATATGCATCAGGGCAGTGTTTTTTCTGTCAGCCTGATATTAACACAATGCATCTGGACGATGGCTCTGTGAAAAGCTATCACTGAAGATCTTGTGGAGATCAAAACATTTATCTTAGTTTTAATATGATAAAATAATTGTTGCATATTTGTATGTAGGACAAGAACTCCAAAATGGGCTGGACAATAGAGGTTTTATAAGAACTTTATAATTGTGCTCTCTTTTAACATGTTGTGTAGGACTATATGATGTTGTAAGTGATCCTGGGAAATTTAGAAAATGCCATGAATAAGAATTGGTTGGAAATTGTTCAGATGAAACGTTTATGTTTCATTTTCATGGAATTAACTTAATATTGACTACATATATCTTTTTTATTTTACTGTATCACAGCTTCAACATTTGTTCCAGTTTAATTGGCTTTAAAACTGCAATTTACCTTGTGTGTTGGATTTTCTTAATGAACTTCTGAATGTGAGAGGTGCAAAACTCACCGCTGATGGAAGGAAAGCAAAAATACTTCCCTTTTGATTTGAATAAATTCAGTTTGCCAAAAAGCACTTCGTGCCCCCTAAAGTTTCTGCCTAGCCCAATAAGATTGTACTATTGCACACCTAATATTTATATTTGGGTAAAATACCAGGAATTTTGTGTTGGATAATTATTTTCCGCTTTCCAATCACAAAACAGCCTGGATTGCTAAATATAAAAACCAAGACAGACAGCGAAGTGGAAATCATTAGCACGTACAAGAAATATTAATTATTAACTCTCCAAATATTGTTATGCAATATTGCCACATCTATTACACCTTTTGTTGCATCTATGACACGGTGCCGTTTGAAAAATGACACACCTTGCATCCAGACTTTAATTTCCCGCTCTCACAGTCGCGGAACGAGAGCCACACTAACTGTTAAGTTCCTCAGTTGTGGCCACCCTTCCCCAGTGAAGCAGCCACATGTTAAAAATCGCTTCCATTTAAGAGATTGCTTTTGTTTAACTATTGCCAGGCTTGCCTGCTCCGAAGCCAGTGCTCTGTGCTCTTGCCAAGCTTTCTGCATCAGAAAGGCTGGCTCTAGGGCTCAAGAGCAGCCTGGCAGCTCTTCACTGAGGTGGCATTGGCCATGCATGCAAATGAGGCATCACCTGTGGTCATAAAAAGGCTGGATCTCATGGCATAAAATACCTTAAGTATTATATATGGATAGATTCTCACTTAACTGGGCTATTTGCTTCAATAGGCCATTGTGCATCACTGTTAAATTCCAGAAATCTTTAAGAGGCAATTTAATTTAAGATGTTTATACAGCTGACAACTGATCTTTTTTTTTGGTGCTTTTGTTCATTGCTGCCATTTTAAATTACATGTAGCTGACTGCGACTTCTACATTGTATTGGTATTCACATTGGCTAAGCTGATTGCAAGGTCTGCAGTGTCGACGTGACTGCTCTCCGAGGAAGAGGCCAATGTGATGTTTGAGAAAGCAAAGAGTGGAATCTTTCTTCTTGTTGATATTTCAAATTAACACGGGCACTGCCTGATGCAGGTGATCGCTGTTTATGTAGTCCACATGCAAGCTGCCCAGAGCCTTTCGTGGAACCACATGAGAGATTTTATTCATTTATCGAGATTGTAAGCCTGCACCTTTGACTGTTTTCCGTGTAAACAATGCTAGCCACTCCTCTGTACTCGGTAGGGCTGTGTTTTTTGGAAAGGGAACTGCACGGGAGACTTGTTTTACAAATGAATTGTCTGCCTTGGCAAAAGAAAGCAGGAGTGTCACCATGGTGAGGTTTAATTAGGGATTTCACCACCATTACAAAGAACATAGGGAGCGAACATTACACACAGACTGGATGGAGGATATTATGCAAAAGTTTGCAAAATCAAGTATAAAAAATAAAGACAATCAGTATGAATTTAAATTATGTTCCTGCTCAGAGTCCTACACGTGTTTCTGTTCTGTGCACTGAGAGAAGCGGTGGGAGAGTTTCACACACATGGTGCTAAGTAAAGGAATATGCATTCGTGTTTGTGTGTGCATTGAATGGGATGTTAACAACAAAATAGATCTGGTCAAACAGCATTGACTGCACATTAAACAACATGCCTTTCAACAAAAAAAAAAGGTTGTGCCACCTCAGCTTTGAAGGATTAATTTATTTTAAAAAAAAGTTTTTTATAATACGAAAAACTGACGTCTTAGGCGGAAGAAAATGTTTTCCTGTTTGTGTTTCCAGCATGCCTATTTGCGTCATTTGCGTTACTTATTTTTCCTGTGTTTTCTGCTGCTGATTCTGCTGCGGTGCCTTTGGACTTTCTGCTATAAAGTGCAACAGAGACACATTCAAGAGCCGTTCAGGTAGACTGTGGCCAAGGACCGGAGTTCTGGAAATGCAGTGCTCCTGCAATCTGCTCACAGGCTTGCAGGGAATCGCATTTGAGACAGACTTTGTTTATTGAGATTTGCAAGCCTGCGGTTCTGATAGTTTTCCTTCTAAGCAATGCTAGCTACTGCTCTGTGCTCAGTATGGCTTTGTCTTGAAAGGCGAACAGCAGACGTTACTTACTGCATCCTGATTGAGCAAAAATGTATCCACCCTATTCTTGTCTATATGTACGTGGCTGAAATTTTCCATCATACTGGTATCCTTAAGAAAAATGGAGTGGATGGTTAAGTAGTTTAAAACAACATTTTATGTTTTGAGGAAAGCAGATTTGGTCCTATCGATACAAAACATTTTAATGTTGCATTTTGGCCTATATAATATTTTTTCACTTGACATGCATCTATTAACTTTAGAATCATGCAGATGCTGATATCATTTTTACAATTAATGTGTTGTTGCTTGATATATGCCCTAAGAAATTAAACTGGAATTAGCCATTACTTT